GTGATGCTCCTGCTTGGGCATTTCTAAAATGCATTATATCACACACAGGTTATTTTAGTTGTAAGTGTTGCACAATGAAAGGTTCACTAATGAACCTTTCATTGTGCAATGACACTCCACTAATGAAAGTGTAGTCTTTCATTTAGTGGAGTGTCGTCTGCGCACAGATGTTGACTTTGCTGCGATGCTACATGAAAAGCATCAGTTGCAACAAACACCGTTATTAGGCTATAATATATTGTGTGTGAGGAGTTTTTCTTTAGACTGCATGCATCTTGTCTGCCTTGGAGTGATAAAAAGGATGCTTAAATTTTTAATTGGGGATGGGCCTCGTGCTTATAGACTTTCACATTCACAAATAAGTGAAATTGTAAATCGTTTGACAGTTTTAAATGGAAAAATGCCTTCAGAGTTTTCAAGACAGCCAAGAACGGTGATTGAATGGAAACGATGGAAAGCCACTGAATGTAGACAATTTCTACTGTATACTGGTTGTGTGGTGTTGAAAAGTATTGTTAATGAGGGTGTTTATACACACTTCCTTAAATTATCAGTTGCATTTAATATTTTACTAGATTCAAATGCAAACAACTGAACTCCTCAAATGCTTGAATATGCACAAAAACTTCTTGTTGATTATGTTTCTTCTGCTATTCAATTTTTTGGACCTACTTTCTCCACTTACAACGTCCACAATTTGCTTCACATTGTAGACGATGCAGAAAATTTTAATTGTTCTCTTGATGATATTTCAGCATTTCAATTTGAAAACTACATGCAAGTAATAAAAAAATTTGTTAAAAATGCTCATAATCCGTTAGCTCAAATTGTAAAACGCAGTGAAGAGTTAGAAAATTGTGGTTCAGTATATTCGAATAAGTATATGAAGACTGTTTGCTCTATTCAAGATAAAGACTGTTGGTTTTTATTAAATAATGGAAAGTTTTGTCGTGTCAAATCCCTGTATGAAAATGGTTATTGCGGCTGTACTGTTTTAAGAAATAATGAGTTATCAAGTTTTTTTAACAATCCATGTGATTCTTAGAGTCTAAATATTGTTCGCATTAAAAAAAACTATCTGTCTGAAAAATGCATAATTAGTAAAGCAGATTTCTCAAGGAAAGTTGTATGCATGTCTTATAAAGATGGATTTGTGCTTGCTTCTTTAGTCCATGATATTGTTTGGTAGAAAATTAGTGTATTAAATTTTGCCCAATTTTCATTATATATTTATAACTCAATATCATGTATTGGTAAATGATACAATTGCATAAAAATAGAAAAATAAAACTCAAAGTTGTCTTTTATTCTTTAGGTTTAGTTAATAAAGCTTTTTATGGTTTCTAAATAATAAAAAACATTACTAAATAGTTAAGTTAATATCAAATTATATTTAAAAATAATTTCACTAGGCAGCTATATAATATATCTTAGACTACAATTTAAAATTGTATTCTCATTATGTTTTGCACTAATAAATCTTTTATAAATGAGTATAAAGTGTTGTTCTCTAAAATAAACATTTCTAGTTAAATAAAGTTTATTATGGCAGAAAAAATGTACATACGAACTGTATGGATTGAAAATGGAGAAAAAATTGAGGGTACAGCACCAGAATGTTGGGCAATCGAGAATTTTTTGTGCTGGCCATCTTCGTTAAATGTTATAAAATGTTTCACTGAAATGCATGAACCGCAAGCTAACTGGCACAGGTTTAAGCTATTGAAAATAAAATGTCGTGGAGGTAATGTAATTTTTTTATTGACATAAAGTCATTACTTTTTTTCCTTGTTTGTTTAATTAGCTCCCAATATATATGTTATTTTTAGTGTTTAATGAAATATTCTATATTATGTTATATATTTAAAGTATAATTTCAAATTTAATTGGTTATTTTAGATCGTGAGTTGTGTGACAACTTTGAATTCGCAACTACCAGTGATACTCAGGTAGAATCAGATTCAGAATATGGTAATTATTTTCTAAAGTTGATGCAAGATGTTTGTTATATTTTTGGATTTATTAAAGTGTATTCAATTATAATAAAGTTAAAAAAAAATATTTAGTTTCAGTATTAACAGTTTTATTTTTATTTATTAGAGGAGCCACTACCATTTTCATTGAAGAGAAAGCAAAACCAAGTTAAAGATAAACAACATAATAGTAAGAAAGTGTCTATTCCTGTAACTCAAGTAAAAAAGAAAAAAATAACAATTCCAATGCATACTCCACATGCTGTTGCTCAAGGTATTGGTTGTCTGTAGGAAAGTTGTAATAAAAAGTTATAAATAAAAGAATCAGAGCATTCTTTTATATAATTCAGTGTTTTTATTGCTTGTATCTAAAAAATATTTAGATCAACAATCGCAAAGATTTTGTGAAAAAAAAGATGGTTTTAATATAGTGCAAAGCCAAGGCGGTGCATGTGCTTTTCCTCAAAAGAGAAAAGAACTTCTATTGACAGAGACACCTATATTAAATTCTCTTATAAGAAAGACAACTAGAAAAGATGCATCACTAAGTGGAACATTTCCACTTACTGAGGAAAGTATGTAAATTATTTGTTATTTATTTTGACATTCACTTAATTTTATTAGTAATATAAGCAAGTAAATATTTTTGAGACATTAGATATGAGATTAGATTTGAGACAATAAGATAATAAAATATGCCAAAATCCAAGAATTTATTAAACATTTTGAAATAGTGTGTTTCAATGTTTTTAAAGATTGATTGCTGTTAGGGTGTTTTAACTTCTTTTTGTATCTTTATAATTAGAATTTCAGAAGAAAGTTATATGTGCGCTAGCATAAATGAAAGAGATGTTAGTGAAAGCTCTCTCTAGTAATGAAAATAGTCAGGAAATTTTATGCATGAATTCGCTAAAGTCGTTCAGTGATTATGATTGTAGTTTAATTCTAAGGTGAAATCTGAAGTGGTAGGTTTCTTTAAACCATTTTATTTTGTAGTTGGTTTTATTTTTTTAACATTTTGTTAATCTATTCATAATTTTTTATGTTTACTTTTTAAATAGATGAAAAAAATGTGAATTATTTTCTTAAAACTCTAGGTTAACAAAGTTTCTAAAATTGGCGGTGAAACCATAAAAATAAATACAAACCATAAAAATGTGATGCAAAGGTTAGTTGCTGAACAAAGTAGTTTTAAAAATATGGGTTTAATTTACTATAAGGAATTTCAAATTTATATATATATATATATATATATATATATATATATATATATATATATATACATATATATATATATATATATATATATATATATATATATATATATATATATATATATATATATATATATATATATATATATACATATATATATATATATATGTATATATATATATATATATATATATATATATATATATATATATATGTATATATATATATATATATATATATATATATATATATATATATATATATATATATAATATATATATATATATATATATATAGTTAGTTAGTATATATATACATATATATAGTTATATATATATATATATATATATATATATAATATATATATATATATATATATATATATATATGTATATATATATATATATATATATATATATATATATATATATATATATATATATATATATATATATATATATATATATATATATATATATATATAGTTAGTTAGTTAGTGGTAAGCTGCGTGGATCATATCCACAAGCTGAGACGTTGTAACGTTCAGCTATAGCAGCCCAGTACTTTTTTTTCTTTTTCTTTTAAATTAATGTTTTCTTTTTTTTTTTTAAGCCATTCGTCTAAACTTGCTTTTAAACTATTCAAATTCTCGGAATCTACAACTTTTTCCAGAAGTTTGTTCCAAATTTGGCAAACTCTGTTTGTGAAGAAATAGATTCTGGAGCTAACCTATACATGAAAGTCATTTATTTCGCGAGGAGTAAAACACTGCATTCTAAGTTTATGTTTGAGACCTCTAATGGAAGAATATGGGGCATCTAATTTAATGCTTGACTTATAGACTGGTTTGACCTTAAGATTGACAAATTCTAGATTGTTTAATATCTTATATAAATTAATAAGGTCTCCTCGTTTTCTTCTGAGATTTAAATTAATTAAATCCATTTTAACTAGCCGTTTCTCATAACTTAGCATTCGGTTTGAGTATGATATTTTTGTGGCCCTACGTTGAACTCTTTCAAGCATTGAGATTTCGGCCACATTCAGAGGACTCCACGCTGGAGCCGCAAATTCAAGATGAGGTTGCACATAAGTAGTATACAAAATTTTCCACATATAACAATCTCTACTTTCAAAGGCATTTTTCAATAACTCCAGTATTTTTGAAGCTTTGTTAACACATACTTGCGTTTGAGGCTTTCATCTCATATCCGGTTGTACAAAGACACCTAGATCTCTTTCTAATTCACTGTTTGAGAGGTCATAAATCATTCCATTTATATTCATTGTGTTTGTTTTATCAATACCTCGAAAAACTTTCTGATTGCCGAATCTCATCACCTTACGTTTTTTGCAGTTTAGTTCCATACCCCAATTGTTGTACCATTTCACAATGTTGTCAAGGTCGGTTTGTATTTCTGCTTGTTTATCAATGGAATCTTCTATGGCTATTATTTTGCTATCATCAGCATACATTTTAAATGTGTTTAGCACAACTTCTGGGAGGTCATTTATGAATAGCAGAAACAACATTGGACCCAAAACGGAACCCTGAGGCACGCTACTGGTAACTGATACCCATTCTGAAACTGTATTGCTAATAGCAACTCTTTGTTTCCTATTTGCAAGAAAACTTTCAATCCAGTTATATATTTTACAAGTTATACCATACGCTTTAATCTTTGTCAATAATCTTTTGTGTTCTACTTTATCAAAAGCCTTTGCGAAGTCAAGATATATGACGCATAACGGTTTACCTTTTGCAGTTTCAAATGTAATTGTGTCAATTGTCTCAATAAGATTTGTTGTGCATTATTTGTTTGGAACAAAACCAGTTTGCTCCTCACATATAAGTCTACTTGAAACTAAATTTTGCAGAATTGTGTCCCGAATGAGCTTTTCGAGCATTTTACAAATAACAGATGTTAGGGATACTGGTCTGTAGTTTTCTGGTTCAAGTTTTGATCCCCCTTTGTAAATTGGTGATATATTTGCAACAGACCAGTGGTAAGGGACACATCCAGTGTCAAAGCTTAATTTGAAAATATGAACAATTGGGTCCACAAAACCTTCTGCAGCATGCTTTAAAACAAACGGACTAACTCCATCAAAACCCATCGCTTTTGCCTCATCCATACCTTTTAACATTTTGAGAATTTTTTCATAGGTAATCATATTAGATAACTTACTAGAATCGCACTGGTTTTCGCTTCTTTGCGAGAATTCAGGTATTGGTTGGTCATTATCATTAACAAAGACTGACTGAAATAGCTTATTTAATATATCTGAAATGTCTGATATCTCAATTGTAACTTGATCTTTTTTGTTCTTGATTGCTCTAATTTGCGTTTTAATGTTTTGTTTTCTATTTACGTATGAGAATAAAAGTTTTGGTGCAAGCTTCGCTCTCTTTACTAAATCCGTTTCGTATTCTCGAGTTGATCTTTTGATTTGCTTTTTAACATTAGCACACATTTTGTTAAAAACGATTCGAGATTCTTGGCTTTGCCGATGCAAATTTGAATAAAACATAGAATGTTTAATCTTTATTGCTTTTTTAACTTTTGCATCCAACCAGGGTTGACTATTCTTTTTTTTATTACTCAATATAGGAATAAAAAATCGACAAGATTCATTATATGTATGCAAAAATAAGTCATAACATTCACAGGCTGATTTGTTATAAAAATGCTCAACCCAGTTGACTTGTTTCAAGTATTTATTCATTTGAAAAAATTTACCTTTTTTAAAGCAAAATTTATCTTTTGCGAGTACTGTATTGTTACTAAGACTAGTAAAATATTGCCAAGTGATGGAGTAATGGTATCTTCCCTTTTCATAGTGGCCTAACTGTGGACTACATTGAAGAAAATCAATGCAATTTGGATTGCAAACTAAAATAAGATCAAGGGTGTTAACTGCTGAAACAGAGTCATTTTGTTTGAATGTCGGAAAATTTACTATTTGGTACAGAGAACAATCATTTTAAACTTTATTAAATTCATGTTCAATTGAGTTTGCATTTGAATGAATTATTGGACCATCATCTGTCCATTCTATATTAGGAAAATTGAAATCTCTGACCACTATGAGATCAGTGTATTTTTTCCACTTTTGAGTTTTGAAGCGGTTCTGATTGAGTCTAGAATCAATTTTGAGTAATCAGCTGTAGAGTTTGGTGGTCTATATACACAACCAACAATTAAATGAAAATTATTACAATTTATTGAGCACCTGACTTGTTCGATCTTTTTGTTGTTAAGATGCACATTTACAACTTCTATATTTGTAAGTCTTTTATTTACATAAATGGCAACACCTCCTCCAATTCTATCTCTATCTGCCTGATACAGTTCATAGCCATCAATTATTTTAATCGAATCCAATTTAAACCAAGTTTCTGCAATTGCAATAACATCAACTTCATATGCCAAAGCAAGTGTGGACAGCTCAGATAATTTATTAGAGTTACAGGAGGTAGCATTAGTATAATAAAATTTAATTGATTTATAGTTAGCACTAGTATTTTGCTTTAAATAAATAGGAAGTTTTACATTACTTAAGTTTTGGTAAGATTTATAAGATTGGCTGATATGTGCCCCTCCGAGCCTGCTTGGCAACGCTCTCTTTGACAAATGGGTGAACTTTGCGGTTGCCAATGTCTTTTGTTGTAGTGACGCCGATGCACAGTAATTTTCTGCTTCTAATGACAAATCGAAAGAGCTGGTCTAGGTTATTATTACGTTGCAAATCCTCGTTCGCCTCCTTTCTCTCTTTATTTTATTGTGCAAAATCAGCCTGCTCATCAGGAGTGCGGTCAGGCCGTATATATACTTTTTTGTAGGCCTCAATAATTGACAGTTCCCTTGCGGCAGCCAGCATCTCGTTTCGTGCTACTTCATTCTCAATTTCGACAACTAACGGTTCCGATGCATTGTTTACCAAGGGAACTTTAGATTTTAATCTGAATGTTGATTTTATTATTATTCGTCTGTTCAGCGAACGTATTAATTCGTTAACCATGTTCTCATCATCTGTCTTGCGATCCTTGATTATAGTTTTTTGTGAGTTAGGCAAACCAACAATTACAACATTTTTAGACTTTTTACTGGATAATATTTCATGACTTTTTAACACTTTGATGCTAGCATTATACAACTCAGAACCTGGTTTGGCTAGTTGCTTAGCAATTTGGCTGTAACAAACAGCAGGTGAACTAGAAGGTGGTAAATTTGCATTGTTTTCTTGTAGTCTTTTTACTTTCTCACTAAGTTCAGCTATTTCTGCATCTTTTTCCTTTAATTTCACTTCAAATAGTTTACCTTGTTGATTTAGTTTCACTTTAAAGTCATCCTTTAGCTCTTCAAATGCTTTGTTAATCATCAAAGCTATACAATTCTTTTGTTGGTCAGTTAGTTTAGTCATATCTCAATCCTCGATTTCCACCAATGAAATGAAAGAGAAACAATCACTACAAACAACATTGGATTACTTCTTTGATGTTGAGTTGATCTTTATAGGAGGGCTACCACTCTGAATACCAGTGGATTACCTCCTGTTCAGAATTATTAGAATATTTTATATCTTATTGACACAAATACTTATTACACAGGGACTAAAAAGTTTCAGTATGTATTTTTTTCCTGATATATATATATATATATATATATATATATATATATATATAATATATATATATATATATATATATATATATATATATATATGTATACATGCTTGGTTGGGAAGCGGGAGCGATCGCTCTTGAATACTGACCATGGAAATTATATTTAGTTGCAAAAAACTGGCCAGGTTTTTCTTTAGATAAAAAACATCTCTTAATTTTATAAAAAATTTTTTGTAATTGTCTCTCATCGGTCCAATTAATCTTAAGCGCTTTTTTTTTTTGCTTGTTAAAATGTTCTCAAAACGACTAAAAAATCTGGCCAGCGTTTTGCAACTAAATATTGTTTACGTGGTCAGCAATCGAGAGCGATCGCTCCTGCTTCCTGACCAAGCCTGTATATATATATATATATATACATAAAGTATATATATATACATAAAGTATATATATATATACACCTCGTCATAAAGTATTTTTAACCTTTTTAATTGATTTCTGTATAGTTAATTTAATTTCTGCCGTAACTCAATGATTTAATTATTTCATTGTTCAATTATTTCATCTTACTTAGAAGAATTGTTTCAAATATGTAAAACTTTTCCAAATACGCGAAGCATAAAATAGTTATTATATATATTAACTTTCTTATTTATAAAATAATTTAGCTTAAATAAAACTAAAACAAGTGTTAGTTTAATTAGAATCTTGTTAGAATTTTCGGGGCTGGGCCCTATTTTTATTATTAAGGCCTTTTTATGCGCCACAGCATAAAAATGATTAAAAAAAAGTCTTAACTTTTGCGGGACCCGGGGCTATAGCTCCCTCTGGACCAAAAAAAAGGACATCTTTTAAATGTTCAAAAGACGTTCGAAACATGTATAAGAATTAAATAGTAATTAAAATATATACTAAATAACTCTTATACACGTCCAAAACGTGTATAAGAATTATATAGTATTTTAATTATATCTTTAAGATATAATTAAAAATTACATTACACTCATTTTATTATTTTTCCAATCATAAGATTGGAAAAAAAAATAAAATGAGTGTAATGTAATTGTTACTTTATATAAAAAATGTCACTTAATTTTATAAAGAAATTATAAAAGAGCAATGTTTCGAAAATACATGTTTTAACAATTTATTTTGCTTTAAGTTTCTTCGCGTTAAAAGATATTTTATTTTCGTTGTTTGTTTTTTTGTAATTGTCTCTCATCGGTCCAAATAAATCTTTTTTTGCGAAAAACTTGCCAGTTTTTTGCAACTAAATATTATTTCTCTGGTCAGTATTCGAGAGCGATTGCTCTCGTTTCCGGACCAAGCCTGATATATATATATATATATATATATATATATATATATATATATATATATATATATATATATATATATATATATATATATATATATATATATATATTTATGTATATATATATATATATATAAATATATATATATATATATATATATATATATATATATATATATATATATATATATTAGGGTGGTCCTTATAGGAGGTTGAAAATTTATTTTGGAAAAAATTTGGCGGGCGCCCCTCAAAATGTTTCCATTCGGTGTAAAAACACTTGCTTTTAATTATTGTTGAATTTTATTAACATTTAGGGTATGCTCAATTCAAACAAACTTTCGCATATAGCAGTCACTCAGTCTCAGTGTTCAACGCAGTAAAGTGACATGAATGTTTTTCAAATGTAAGATATTTGTATAACATAATGTTCTGAAAGCAACTCACTTAGTCATCTTCCAAACTAAATTATGTCTTCAGGCTTTCCACAACTGCTACTTTGCTTATTTCTGGTAACTTCTTTCTATGCTCAGCCACTACTTGAAGGATGAATTGCGTCTGCTCTTCAGATTTTGTCCGGAGTCCGCTATACTCCTGAATGAGGGCGACACCTCGCTCTGCAGTGTCGTTAGTATCTCGAAGTTTACCAACAAATGTCTGTGCTTCAGTAAAGGCAGGCAGATCACGCCAGATGGCAGGATCTTCATCGAAGAAGCTGGTTGAAATGTTCAGAGCACTAAAGAACTTCTTTGTATTTGTTGTCACGAAGTCAGGTATCTCCTTTTCTCTTATATCTTGGTCTAATAGAGAGATGCGTTTGGCTGGTTCTTGTACTCCAGGGTTGTCCAACGCCTTGACCATCTTTCTCTTGTCTTCAACAGAAATGGAATCGTCAAAAAAAGAAAAGCCTACGAGTACTTCCGACAAGTACCAAAGGTGTCCTTTTAACTTCTTCAAGGCAGCAAGCGATGTACAGTTTCCAGAAGCCAACAATTCCTTACAGAGCAGAAGGTCGTTCTTTGGAGCTGAGATTCCAAGACGAGAAGAAAACCAGCCTCTTATGTAGAACTTCACTGCAAACACACAGAGATCCTTGAGTCCATTGAGCTCACAGTCAGTAAGATGAAATCCACTGTTTCTGAAGATAAATATCTTCATGCTGTAAATGAGACGTGACATGAATCTGGCTCTGTGCATCGCTCCTGGATTCATGAATCTGACACCTTTCGGAGGAACGCCTCCCAAGAAAATAATTGTTGTTTCAAGGAGCTCTCTGTAATCGTCTCTGGGGTGTTCCGTGTGTAGCTGCTCAGCGGCATAGGAAAGAGTCCTCTGCCTGGTTTCCGAATCAAGTTGAGCCATTACAGCGTCATCCTGGATCCCTGCATGAAAGTCAGCAGTTTGAATGTTTGGCCAGAACTGTTTAAACCTCTTGAATAATTGTATCTCGGGTGATGATGAAGGGCTGATGCATAAGGAAAACACTTCCTCGAGCATAATCTCATGGATGTGGTGGCGGCATGCTAAGTACAGTAC